AATCAAGAATTTCCTCAAAAACAGTATTTCAATAATATTAGTTCGCATTAGAATTGTTCTAGAATTTGAGAGCATTTCACTCTGAGTTTTGAGAAGTATTGAGGTATGACTTATGAAGTTTATTGACTAGAAAAAAAACTATTAGAAGCGGCTAAGTTAAATATTCATATATTTTATACACACTTTTCGTTTTTGCTCTTTCTATTTATATCTAACGTGTCATGAGTGAGCGTATGAAATAAGAAGTATAACTGGAAAAAATATTTGTAAAAATTTCGCAAATCGCATTGGATATAGAGATGGAAAAATTAATGACCACACCGAAGTTAGGTGGAGGTTGCATGCTACTTCGAATAAATAAATCACAAAATCTTGAATTTATTAGTAGTTATTTGCTAACATAGTCATTTTCTGCCACCTCTTTTATTAATGAAAAGTTTCAGTCATGATTTCCATGACGAGGCTGTTATATCAATTTAGATTCAGACAAGAATATTAAGAATTAATTTCTATATCATAAATTTGATACTTAATTTCAAATAACTTCTAAGTAGGACAAAAAACTTTTTCCCCATATTCAATACTGCATTAGATGCTGTCATTTGCTTCAATCTGCCGATTTCAATAATCTTAAATTCATTCAGGGGTGAGCAAATGCTACTGGTTTTGGAGGTTAGGTTACATGGATAGAGAGTTATTTGCCGCTTTTTTCACTTTGTGAGTAGATCCAGAGTTACTTTTCAAAGGATCATTGAATGATTCTTTAATTCTCAATCTTTTAGATAAATAAGTCGAGCTCAAATCCAAAGCTAATCTGTCTAAAAAATGGGCGCATGAGAGATATCACTAAAGTAAACTCGTTACATTTTCAGAGTAGAATGTGCGAATATCCAAATCTTACGGAGCCTTGCGATAATTTGACAGTTTCTATTTTTAAAGACGGAACTATTCTCTGTTCAAGGAACAGTTTGGTTCCAAGTAAATTTATAGGTATTGTGATTCCTGTCTGTGGTCTTTAATTGAGCTTCATCAGCCTTCTTAGATAAACAAGGTTGCAGGCTGCAAATAATCAGAAGTTAAAAAC